GTTTAATATAAATATATAAGAAATTAAAAATTTTGCCATCATTCTTACTATAAAATATTATCCACTTTTTAGCGCATATTCTCTCACACTTTATAATACAGTACTGACAGTGAGTTTCCGTTTTAGAAAGAAATTTATATTAAAGTAGTTTATATATAAAAATTTAATGACTGCTTATATGAACAGTTTTTTGCTTTATATAAATGAATGGCAAATATTTCTCCTTACAGTTAGATTTTTTGTAAATAACTTAAGGACTTATCATCTCTTTCTAAACGCCATCATAAAAATAATGAGAATTTAAGCATAAAATTCTGTAAGTAATGCATAATTCAGTTAATAGTTATGATGTTGTGTTTGAAAGAGTAGTCACACACAGAGAATATACACATGAACTCGAAATTTAGCATAAAATTAGTGCTAATATTACGTGTTTTATCTGACGAATGTGAGTTTAAAGAAATATAATTTTACACTCAAAACCACACTTACGCCATACATTTATATAACTCTTCCTCAATATTGGAAATTCAAAACCAAAATCTATTACCTGAGAGAACAGACACTTTCTTAATAGGAATCCGATTCTATCTCTTGTTTTGTTGCTTTTCCCCACTTTTTGCGATATTCTGTTCATTCAAACAGACAGTTGTTTTGGAAAGACAAGACATAAACTCAACACTTAAATGCAATTGTATTATTATATACAGTATACTTGAATTAGTTTTTATGAATCAAATTTTTTAAGGCAAATCAGATATAAAGAGATTATAAGACATTAGCGTTTTTTGTTCAAATTGAATTATACGTAATCAATATTTGTGTGTATATTAGGTTTAAAATGTAATATTTTGTATTATTTATGTGGCCGCTATATTGGGTTCAATGAAATACTACTGTAACCATATATCTATGAAATGGGTTTTGGAAATGTATCCAAAAGTTCCATTTCCTCCGTAACTATTATTTTTAAAAATAATAAATAAATTGAATATAAGTTTGATGTGAAATCAATTTTGACAAAACACTAGCAATATCTATAAGTAATTTATATTTTGCTTTCAGAGAGTAATTGCAAGGCTTTTGTTAGTAATGGTTTGTATGGAGACATATGTTTGCGCCCCTCATCTACAGTATATGGGAAAGGGATAAGAGTATAGAATAAATATTTTTATATCGAGACAAAAAATATTTTCACTTTTTGCAACAGGGATTGAGGCAATCATGAGTCAGATACAGAAAAATTTAAATGAAAACAATTATTGAGAAAAACGACGGCATAATCAAAACTCAACGGGAGACAAAATTATGAAATGATTTGTTTTGTTTGCGTTCATCACAAACACTTGCCAGCGATTGGCCATTAAAAAACAAAATACCATTTTTATGTTTATTTTTATTTCCAAACATTTTTTCGCTATCAATAAAATGCTAGAAAACCAAAAGTGAATCCAAATGAGTCTCTCTCTCTCTCTCTCTCTCTCTCTCTCTCTCTCTCTCTCT